CAATGATGATGTAAATCTCAGATCATAATTTGTTTTTCTTAGAAATATTTACAATAAATTATCTGGTAGTGTGAGATGTTATTATTCAACTCAGTAACACAGCTATTGGTATTTTTCTAGTTTCCAATATATAAAGATTACCCTTTGTTCTTAAAGACAACCTCATAAAAAAAAAAAAAAAAAAAAAACAATATATAAATTTATTAAGTGATGTGGGAGATAATGCTGGCTATTACAAACAGAGATTAAAGGATAATAAAAACAAATTTAAAACATTTACAAGAGAACAAAAAATTAGCTTTAAGAATGTCACTAAAAAAGAAATTTGAGAAAAATTTGCTAATAAGCAAAGAAGTGGATTAATCAAGAAATATTTGAAGCTGATGTAAATATAAATAGAAATGATGCAGATCTTCAGGACATTAGTTAAAGACAAAGCAAAATTTACAATTATTAATGCACTTTTGCAGTTAAAATACATTTTTCGTCAATCATCATGTAAACAAAAGGAAGTAACTGTTGTACCGGTATTTTTATATTTACCACATATTATATTTATATTGAGTCAATGCAAAAAAAAAATAAAATAACTACAGAAGAAAATGCTACAGTACATTTAGAAAAAAAAAAAAAAAGAGTTTATCTATTTATATATAAAGTTACAGTTTCAAAATTAATTCAGAACCAATTCCCAAGAATTCTTCTTCACTATCATCACTGTCAAACATCATTTGTTCATCAGTTAATAGGTTTTCGTCATTGCCCATTTTCACAACCCAATCATACAATTCTTTTTCCATTTTTTTGATATGGAGATACTATATACCTTGCTGCTCTTTTTGATTTCAGCATTTCTTTAAGCTGATCTTTTTTGCTTTCTCCATCTTCTGACAACCTTTTCTGAAATTCCAAACTGCCTTTCTGCTGATTGATTTCCATGTTCTTCTGCATAATTTAGTACTTTTAATTTAAAACCTGCTTCATAATTCATTTACGCATGATTAGGGTTTGCAACAATTAAAATTACAAACTATAAGTTTGGCTACCAACTATATCACTGCGCAATGCAAAATAGTGCAAACGTTTTGGGTACTAAATTCATGCACTTTGTTATTTGTAAATAACACTTAAGAACACATTTTAATGTTATATCAAACAACCATTAAAGAAAATTATCTCAAAGAATATATTTCATTTGTCTAAGTCATATTTTCCAACGTATTTTTGACAAAATATATATATATTTTGCAGAATGAATCGTGGGACTATTTTTTCTTTGTCAATAAACATTTACATGTGGTTCCTTAACTTATGTATGCATGTTCAGGGTTTCTATGTCAATCTAGTGCAAGGGCCTAGACTGAACAGTAACTGATGGATCAATGAATATTTTATAATTTTATTTATTTATTGTGATGGATATGTGAAGCTAGCTGCATGAGGTAAGTTTAAAGCAGTTAGTATATATAATAGATAAATTGTTTCTATATGGAGAAAAACCACAGTTTTAGTGCTTATGGGTATCATTTCCAATTGCTCAGAGATCATGATGACAATGTGGTGTTGTTTTACATTTATGTCGAGCTGACAGGTCGCACACCTGATATTTTGTGAAATTTTTGGTAAAAAAAAAAATAGTGCAACTTATCCGCATGTATATACTCAACCTATTGAGATATTAATCTCATTTTGAAAAAAATTGAGAATCATCCCTAAAAATTATGGCTATGAAAAAGAGAAATAACATTCAAGCAAAGATCTCTGGTAAGCAACAAACACTTATACAAGTAATATGAAAGTAGAAAAGTTAAAAAAAATCAATAGATGAAAGAATAATGAAGGTTACAGAATGACAAGAAGCCCATATTAACATGTAAAAAATAATTTTGTCAGGTATATAGAATATTGTGTTAATCAATTACATTCCTATTGCTTATATATTTTGAATTCATTTTATGAACAGAGAGATATGTTGCACTTTGAAATATAACCAGATACACACACACAAAAAAAAAAAAAATCAGTATTTTTAATAATAGATGTTTTGCTCATGTAAATATATGCTGAGAATTTGACCAATATTGGTTGTTTAATCCCAATTTTATTTTGAAAACCTTGGTTTGTATGAAATAGGATACTATAGGTAAAGTAAATATCCTGAATTAATCATGCAGAAAATATAACAAATGCAACTGCAAAATTACCTACTAAATACTGCTGTTATTTTTTGGCAATACAGGTAAATTTTGTAAATTCTCTCAGAATTTAATGAGGTAAGTTGGTCCTTTCATTACAGGTCTCTATTTGCCAAGTAAGAATAAACTTATTAAATCAACATTGCCTGTAATATAAAAACCAAGTTTTAACTAATTGTTTTCCATCTTTTCTCATCAGATTTGTTTAGTAGAGAAAGAATATGAAAGGACATTTAAACAGTGTTGTTTTTTTTACTGACAGATTGCAACTACAATAGTACACAATTTTCATTGCATATTAATTCTCTTGAAAGCTATATTTTGGATGTTATCATTCTCATATTATACAGGATGGGCTCTAATCTAATCTAATTCCCCATCTCTTTTCAACAGAACTATGTTTCTGGCAATTTAAATTGTTTTGTCAAAAATATATTATTTTCTTTTTAGACAATTCTTTAAAAGAACTTAGTGAGCATAAACAATGGTTTCTGCTGTTCTAAATGCGATGATGTCACTGTTTTTGCCAAAGTTGTGGAAATGTAAACAAAAAAAAAAAAAAAAAAAAAAACAAGCGAAAGACAGGAAAGAAGTCAAGTTTGTCAGTCGAGATAAACAGCTGTGTTTGACAAGTGACACGTTGATACATCCAACAACACAGCCTGCTTATTTTCATCTTTTTCGACCATATTTGCTTTCTCTGGCACACACCAAAAAGCTTATTTGTTATGAAATAATCTAATTTTTTTTTATCGGAATAACAGAAAATATGGCTTCACATGGGCGTGTGTATATCTCAAGAGAAATGACAAATTAAAAAAAAAAAAAAAAAAAAAACAGAAATTCGAGATTATGATAATCACATCATTCAAAAAGAATCAAACAAAAAGTGATTTGATTTTATTAAAAATATATATTTGATAAAAATAAATAAATAAAAATTTCTGTTTAAAAATCAAGACCATTTACGAAAATGTCGATACTCAGCCAATCAAAGAAATCTATAAATCTTATTTTTATATTGGAAAATACGTTTTTTAAGTTAACTTAACTGGGTTTCAAAACAGCTGTTTCTTCTTTGCACACAATATTGATCCATGTGAAACGAAAAAGATATTTTTTTTTTTAATTTAAAATAAATGCTGTTATTTTTCCATTATCATGAATTACAAACCAAAGAATTCTTACAAACTTGTAAAAACAACAAAAATATCCGATAACTTTCATCGTAACACAGACACTGAACAAACTGAACTTAAAATATTTTCAAATTTTTAATTTAAACCAATTTTTTAGACTTATTTAGTTAATGAAATTAAAAAATATTTCTACACTTTTTAGTTTACAACATACAATTGTGTTCGGTTTTAGCATTGACACTTTTTTTTTAATAATAAAAAAAAATATTACGTTACCTCCCCAAACAGATTTTTTAAGAAATAGTTTTGAAAGTTAAAAAATAAAATTATTTATATTTAAATTAACAAATGTATTATGCACAAGTTTAGAATTGGTAATAATTTCAATGTTTTTTTTTTATTCTTTCTAAGGGAAAGGAAATTTGAAAATCACGAGTAATAGTAAGAAAAAGAATGTAAATATTAAATTAAAAATTTTTTTTAAAAAAGCAGCAAGTCTTTTTAGTGGTTTTATTTTTTTTAAATATTTCTTTCATTTACTTTAACCCGGATTTTTAACTTAAAAAAAAAAAAAAAAATCAGCAAATTAAATACTATTTTTGACTTCTTTCCTGTTGTTTTTCTTCTGAATAATAAAAAAAGTTTTCTTGGTAGATTTTTGCTTCTAAAACTTCAGACTCTTCTAAAAAGTTTTAAAAACAAAATATGTTTATCCAATTTTTTTTTCAATATTTTAAAATATTTAAAATACTGAAAAAAAATGATTAGAATATTTTGTTTAAAAGTAAGAAGCTCTTGAACTAAAAATCCGTGTGGCAAATCCAGAAAAACGATGTCAACCACAAGTTCCCGGTCAAACGATAAACGAAATATTTCTCAAGCCAAAAAAACCACAAAGAAATATTTACTTTATTATTCCTGGAGAAACCACAATAAATTGAACCATAAATTATTTTAATGGAAAAACAAATTGACGATGACAAATATGAAAAATATAAAAACCTGTTGGTCTCCAAGAGAAAATGATGTCATAAAAATAAGCCGGTGAACTGTCTCTCTCTACTTTTGATATTTTTAATTACAGACACTATGAAAATTCAAGTTTTTTTTTGTCTTTTTTTATAATAAATATTAACTTGTTATTCAAGTAAATAACAGTCATATCTAAAGTTTAACAAAACAAATTTGTATTTAATAATGAGAAAAAAGACAAAAATGTCGGTTCAATACAAAATTGAATTTTAAAATGTCATCCGTTACTGATGGAAGGCAAATGCAAACAGTCGAGTTCAGATTATAGAATTAATTTATTACTAACATACAATTTACCAAAGATTATTTTCTTAATAATATTCTTAAATATTAAACAAAAAAAGTTATAGAATCTCTAAAATATCTTCCTCTATAAATCTACAAAACACTCTCGTTGTTAACGTATCATCACCCCGGTAAAATTATTTTACTTTTAAATAACATTTTCATAAAAAAAATAAAATAAAACATTATCTTTTATTCTCGTAGAAGAAAAAAAGAAAATTTTTTTTAAAATGATCGTTAATACATTTTCACGTCAATTATTGTACAAATAAACAGATACACACGCCGCAAACGTTTTTTTTTTTTTAAAAAAAAAAAATGACAGATAAATCAAACAAAAGAAACCTACCTGATCTCTTGATATTTTTAACACAAAAAGATAATATATATGTTGGTTAGACAAAATAAGACATAGATTTGTTACTTTAACAGTACATATGTCAAACAACTTGACAAGAGGCGTGTTTAAATGAAACGTTTTGGTTTCGTTACAACTATGAAAGAAAAAGAGAAATTTACAAGAAAAAAAAAAGAAAAAAAAAAGAAAAAATATCTACAGGGTCTGATTTCTTCTTCTTTTGCTACTTTTAATCGTTTAATTCTTTTTCTTTCTTCTTCAAAAGATGTTGTTTATATTATTTTTCCTTCCGTTGTGTATCCCGATGCAATGTTGTCCTGACTGCTGAGATTTTTACAATCACTCAACTGATGATTATTCCAGTTCGGGGGGTAAAAACAACACAAAGATTTCTCAGCAAAAGTGATTAAGAGAAAAATAACAATAAATTCTTCTCCCAAAATATCCAAGAAGCTTATCAATATAGGAGCGTTGACATGGCTCGGTTTTTTCCTTCTCAACGAAGGGTGGTCTTTCCCACCGGGCTGAGTTTCCACCGAGCAGCGGCCATCTTGTCTCGTCTTCGCTGCTACGTGGGTTACACATGCGCAGTGTGTTTGGCGGCCGCTCACTACGCCAACAGACACTAATTCCATCCTTGAAACATTAACACATTTCAATTATTAGTGTATTCAACTTATAAAAATAAATATTTTTTAAAATAATTCTTTTATTTACATTATAAGTGAAAATTTGCTTTCTAATGTTTAATTATCACTTTTGTCTATGATATAAGCGTCATATTGCCACGTATTAATCTAAGTTACATGACTCTGATTATGAATTGTCATAAGAATTACGTCCCTTTATTTTGGATATGACATAAATTCTTATAGGATGTCCCAGAAAAAGTAAAACTGAGAAGCGAAATTAGGTCTCATTTAGTGCCTTCATTTAAAAACAATATTTAACATTTTTTTTTCTTTTTACAATAATAAAATAAGAAGACATTATTTGGAACACAAGTCAATCATTTTGGAAAAAGGTGAAGAATATCTTGTTTGATGTTCACAGTACCATTTCTTGAACTTAAAACTGATGAGAGGATATTTTGTGAAATAAAAGTTCTGAAAACTACAAAGATGCTTTATAAAATTTCTTCTAGTCAATAAGGCAATTCTTCTAACAGAAGTATTTGTTTCATCTTTGAAACTTATATGTCCATTTTTTTAAAAAAATTGTAATTTTAAGGTCACAGCTTTGTAGGAGAGTTATAATTCTAAGTAAATCATTATAAACCCCTAACATTTATACATACCAAAATACTTCAGTATTTCTGAGATGAGGTTTTATGTACATTATTTACAAGGACACATGACACAGTGGATAAAGGCGTTAGTTAGATCCAGTGACAGGACCCAAAGAGTGAGTTCAATACCCGGTTAAGGTAATGGAGAACTTTCAGAGGGAAATTAACAGGAGATAATTGATAAATGACATCCATTAAAAACATGGCATGTGGAACTAGAACAGTCTACCCCAGTGAGCAAAATAAAGGGTTCAGTTCAACATTCCAACCACCTGAAGAAGGCCAGAGCATACAACAACCGAAATGTTGTAATAAATATGGCAACAAAGATGAGGACAATAGTCCGAATAATGTAAATAATGTACCAAAATACTTGTTATGTGGTGTTGAATACACAACAGACTGTAATACTGAGTAAAATTGTGAACTTTGGGTCAAATGTAGATCAAATATGGATTGGATTCCAACAGAATGATAAGATAAAGAATAAGTAAAGTGTATACAGTCTTTCTTGTAAGTTTTTTATACATGCATGTAATAAGTGTCCAGATAATTTAGTAGGAAAAATACAAGAAATGTCTGGGGTTTTTCTACCTCAAATTTTTGTTGAATGTTAAAAGATAAATGTTACTATTATGGCCTGAAGAAGGAAAAGGAGCCAAAATGTTCATTGATACACATGTTGATGGGCTGTCTATATCAATTGACTGTTCAATGGTGAGAATGTCACATGTTTGCGTGTGTGTGTGTGTGTAGAGCTGAAAAGTGAGGTTGATTCTCATTCGTTTAGAAAGAGTGAATTAATGATAATTATAATTGTTATAATTATTTTTGACATTATAATTAATTTTTATTTATTTAATTTTTATGGATACAACACAGTGACAGTATAATTAATTTTTTATTAATGCATTTCTTTATGGACACAACAGCTTACAAACAATAGGATCACTATCATCAACAACTTTTTAAAATTAATTGGTGTTTTTGATTACTGAAAGTGGTAATGTGGAAGGTTGTGGATATGAAAATTTGGCCTTGTAAAAATATTCAACTTATCCACAATGGAAAAGGAAACATTTCTTTTTTTTTAGTCTAGTTTCTTCTTATGAAGACAGTTTTCATGCAACAGGAAATAGACTAGACACAGGATGATTTCTTAATAGATCCTCTTAATAAACTGGAACTAGACTCCTCATACTACTTTGACTCCAACTGCCACATGGACTGGCTACTTGATACATTGCCCTTTTATTTATACATGGCACACAGACATAGTAGTAAACACAAGAATACACATTTAACAGAAAAAAGCTGAACTTTATTCTCAGCTGTGTCACTTGAAGAGTATAAAATTTCTAATAACTTAATAACCATACATGCTTAAAAGATTCCAGATTAAAAATTTGGCATATGTTTTAAATGTTGTGTAACTTTTATCTTTCTCCAAAAATTATGATCTAATTAAATTTTAAGTTGGTATTCACTCAGTAGTGATATTATATCTTATTAATAATTTTAATAAAAAAAATTTATTTTATCTGAAACTAATTAACAGTTTGAACCTGTCTAATTTGCATATTTTATCAAATCATAATTTATGTAAATTTTTTAAGATTTTTTTCTTCACAAACACTACAGTACAACCAGTTGCAACAGAAACAACTATTCTTACTATTAATAATGTTGGATTAAATTTCCTTCTCTCCTAATTAACATTCACCACCCTTGACTGGTTATGTGACCCTTAACAGGTAATCAGTGAAGTCCACTTCATATAGAGAACAGTTCTGGAGTGCTTGGCACAAAAAGATGCTTGTCTATGATTAAAAACACAGTCTTGCAACATGACATAAAAAAAAACAGACTTTGTTAATATTCAATAGCTTTTCTTGGTGTCTTGAAGGTATGTAATACATTTCTACACTGTTAGTATGTTCCTTTTCTATAAAATAAAACTTTCATTTACATTCTTCTCCCTCACCATCTTTATTTATTTTTCTTTAATGGTTGAATCTGTATTTATGGCAGTTATTAATTAAGTCTACCCACATACATTTTGGAAAACCCATCAAAAGAATTAATACATCTCTGTACCAATCAATTTACTCCCCATTTCAAATGCCAAAAATGATGAAAACATGCAGGATATGAAATAAACAGCAAAGTGATAGATTTCTTATTCAGGACACTACCCATTTCCAATGGCATTAAAAAGGAATAATGCTTAATATATACACTTTTCACATCATACATATTCTTTGTCATAAAATCATTAGGTGCTGAGGTGCCAAGTTCTCTAAATGTTTACAGACTCTACATGCTGCTAGCACAAAGATGATGATACAAGTATGTTATTCAAATATATTCTTGCTCTCCATAATATATATTTATATACATGTATGATTTGTATATTCCTTTCTTATATATGTTCTATTTTAAATATTTTTAAAAGAGTTTTTTGATAACATTTTTTTTATTATTTACCCATTAACAGCCTGTTTCATGCCATGTGATTTTCAAAATTGGTGTTTGTTTCTCTTGAATGCTCACAAGCAGGGCTGGTGCAAAAGTCTTGTCCCCCACTCCAATCTATGATACTCTACTACATCTCAATTTTATTAAAGTAGTAGTCATATAAAATTCAAATTTTATTCCAACCTAATTATGTACAACAATGGATCATATGCAATGTAGGTGACCAATTCAATCAGAAAAATTGAAAATAAATATGATTCTAAATACACATTAAAGTCATGTCATAACAGATCATTCCATCTTAAATACACATTAATGTCATAATAGATCATTCCATCTTAAATACACATTAATGTCATAATAGATCATTCCATCTTAAATACACATTAAAGTCATGTCATAACAGATCATTCCATCTTAAATACACATTAATGTCATAATAGATCATTCCATCTTAAATACACATTAAAGTCATGTCATAACAGATCATTCCATCTTAAATACACATTAATGTCATAATAGATCATTCCATCTTAAATACACATTAAAGTCATGTCATAACAGATCATTCCATCTTAAATAAATCAACAATGTTTTGGGGCAACTTTTAATGTCAACTCGAGATCTTTCTTTTTAAAAAGTTGAATAATTTTAACACATTCAATATTATGGATAAAAAATAGTGAATTTTATATAGTGTTTTTTTTAGACTTAGCATGAGCAAAATAAATTCACAAGTTTGAACAAAAAAAACAACAAAAGAACCCAGAATTACGTAAAAATACACAAATATTTTTCATCATTCAATAGTCAGTTGTACTGAGTTTAATTTATAATGTATACAGTGTGCGATGGATAAAGTGTCATCTAAATTACACAAAAATGAAAATAATACTGACAGCTCATTTTAACAGATATATCTACCAAAATTACAAAAATATCTTGAAATACTAAAGAGTAAATTTATTCAATAAAATTGGCTGCAACCACTGCCACCAAACAAATTTGGAATTTCCTGCAACTCTTCTGAACAGTCTCCTTGTTTAAGTTGGTCAATGCTGCCATAATCCTTACTTTCAGTTTATCTTTAGTTTTACAAGGAATTTTGTTGGTTTGTCACTCAACTGTGCCACACATAATAATCAAGGGGGTTGTAGTCTGGGGTGTTAGGTGGCCAGATTTAATGGTGATGTGATCGCAGAAATTACCTGAGAGCCATGACTGGGTTCTCCTCCTTATGTGACATGGTGAAGAGTCCTGTTCCCAGACATAGGGTTTCCAGCATCCATCCTCTTGACCTAAGGCAGCACTACCTCCTCAAGGGATGAGTGTGAACCAGATGATAGGCAAGCCTATCTACTCCTATTAATCAACTTCTTATGGATCATTTAAGGCTGAAATTTAATTTTCTTGGGAGCATTATAAAATGCAAAAATACAAAAATGTATTGCTGGTAATTTTTTTACTATGAAGATGTATTGCTTGTACTTTTACTATAAAAATGTATTTTTATACTTTCATAGTGCTTTGATCCCAGTTTGGGGGTTAACTATTTGTGCATAGCTGGGACCCCAACAGGTGCTACCACCCAGGCTCAGGGTGAACATCAGAATAACAGCAATCTGAGGCCTTGCTACCAGATGTAGTTTATTGTCATACCTAGGACATAACATAGATTGCAATTTCTTTCTCTGTTTTTCTTTATCTTTTATTATATACCATTCTACAGCTGTTATGCTTTCTGGTTTATTTTTACTTCCGATATGAGTTTTGACAACTTGGTGTTATTTCGATTTAAATTATTTCCCAGTTGTTCCAATGAAAATTCACACCTTCCCTGCATATTCTTTTGTTGTAACTTTTGTCTTA